AAAGGGGTCTGAATACTTTCCACACACACACACACACACACAAAAAAGTGTTTGCCCCCTTCCTGATTTCTTATTTTTTTGCATGTTTGTCACACTTAAATGTTTCAAATCAAACTAATTTAAATATTAGACAAAGATAACACAAGTAAACACAAAATGCAGTTTTTAAATGAAGGTTTTTATAAAGGGAAAAAAAAAATCCAAACCTACATGGCCCTGTGTGAAAAAGTGACTGCCTGCCCCCCCCCCTAAAACATAAATTAACTGTGGTTTATCACATCTTTGGAAAGCCGAGTTCAATTTCTCTAGCCACACCCAGGCCTGATTACTGCCACACCTGTTCTCAATCAAGAAATCACTTAAATAGGACCTGCCTGACAAAGTGAGGTAGACCAAAAGATCCTCAAAAGCTAGACATCATGCTGCGATCCAAAGAAATTCAGGAACAAATGAGAAACAAAGTAATTGAGATCTATCAGTCTGGAAAAGGTTACAAAGCCATTTCTAAAGCTTTGGGACTCCAGCGAACCACAGTGAGAGCCATTATCCACAAATGGCGAAAACATGGAACAGTGGTGAACCTTCCCAGGAGTGGCCGGCCGGCCAAAATTACCCCAAGAGCGCAGCGACGACTCATCCAAGAGGTCACAAAAGACCCCAGAACATCATCCAAAGAACTGCAGGCCTCACTTGCCTCAATTAAGGTCAGTGTTCATGACTCCACCATAAGAAAGAGACTGGGCAAAAATGGCCTGCATGGCAGAGGTCCAAGACGAAAACCACTGCTGAGCAAAAAGAACATAAAGGCTCGTCTCAGTTTTGCCAGAAAACATCTTGATGATCCCCAAGACTTTTGGGAAAATACTCTGTGGACTGACGAGACAAAAGTTGAACTTTTTGGAAGGTGTATGTCCCATTACATCTGGCGTAAAAATAACACGGCATTTCAGAAAAGGAACATCATACCAACAGTAAAATATGGTGGTGGTAGTGTGATGGTCTGGGGCTGTTTTGCTGCTTCAGGACCTGGAAGACTTGCTGTGGTAAATGGAACCATGAATTCTGCTGTCTACCAAAAAATCCTGAAGGAGAATGTCCGCCATCTGTTCGTGACCTCAAGCTGAAGCGCACTTGGGTTCTGCAGCAGGACAATGATCCAAAACACACCAGCAAGTCCACCTCTGAATGGCTTAAGAAAAACAAAATGAAGACTTTGGAGTGGCTTAGTCAAAGTCCCGACCTGAATCCGATTGAGATGCTGTGGCATGACCTTAAAAAGGCGGTTCCTGCTCGAAAACCCTCCAATGTGGCTGAATTACAACAATTCTGCAAAGATGAGTGGGCCAAGATTCCTCTACAGCGCTGTAAAAGACTCATTGCCAGTTATCGCAAACGCTTGATTGCAGTTGTTGCTGCTAAGGGTGGCCCAACCAGTTATTAGGTTTAAGGGGCAATCACTTTTTCACACAGGGCCATGTAGGTTTGGATTTTTCCCCCCCTTAATAATAACAACCTTCATTTAAAAACTGCATCTTGTGTTATCTTTGTCTAATATTTAAATTTGTTTGATTTGAAACATTTAAGTGTGACAAACATGCAAAAATATAAGAAATCAGGAAGGGGGCAAACACTTTTTCACACAACTGTATACACGCACACACGCACACACACACACACACGCACACACGCACACACACACGCACACACGCGCACACACACACACACACACACACACACACACACACACACGTACAGCAACTTCAGAGAGACACGATTGCAGTCTAAGGAGCAGAGCCAGATGGCCAATCCTACATCCCACGCTGAGACACATGTGAGGACACAAAGACAGACTACACGAGAAACTGCATATTTATTGCACCTAACAAACTTTGCCATTCTACATGTTTTAATTTAAAGTGTGCATTGACTTCTATGTGTATTCTTCTTCTGCAGTTTCTATTATCAAGTAAGGTCTGTCAACATCTCACCCAAGTTTATATCTTGGCTGTCAGCTGACCCTAGATACATGTACATCAGGTGACTACTTACTGATCAAATCAACGTACTTTGTGACATCGTGGAGGATCGTTAATCAGAACCACTTTCCTATGATTATGCCCGTGGACAGCGCGTGTGTGTGTGTGTGTGTGTACCTATGGCCTCCTCAAAGGCAAACAGAACAGTCTTGCCCTGGTCCAAAAGGTCTCTGGCTCGGTTTCCCATCCACTTGAACCCCGTCAGTGTTTCCTGTCCAAACAGCGGCAACAGTAGACGTCAAGTTTGGTTTGAAATAATAACTACAAGCAACACTTGCAATGGTGAAGAAGCCTCCCAATAATAGAGTGCATTTAACTGTATCACTAGCATCCATTGGCCACATTTATTTCCAACTTTCTCTTAAAGTGTTCTTGCTGAAAGCATTTCATGAGACCCTGAAATACAGGAACATGTTGTTATGGCTGTCTTCCTGTTGCAGTAAAACACACGTTTGGACACAAAT